AGCTGGTTGAGTAATGATGTTGCATCTTGGTCCCTGTATTTTGTGATGATTTTTTTCCCAGTCGCTCCGGAATGGTACAGTTTGCTATACTCTACATTAAAATTACATTTAACCCCAGAATTTACTAGCCCTGCCTGGTTGCAAAATGGACAGAAGGGTTTACTTATCTTCCTTTAATTGCTTTTCCAAGGCTACAAAGTGAAGCTGTAAGACATTTGAGGGTCCCCCCCCCACCCCGTCTTCATTGCAGTTTCTTTGAGCAGTGTTCTCTGGGGATATGGTAGAAAATTTTATTCACATTAAAGGACCTTTTTACCTCAGCGATAGAAGCCTGAGCTACATTTCCTCACTATATAGATATGTCTGTATGGTTGTGATCAGGTATTTGAAACCCACATGTTTTCCACAAGGTGAAATTATTATAATTTGTTAGAGCTTGATGCTGTATTAGAGGAGAATTTTTTAATGGCTTTTTTTTTTTTTGAGATTTAAGGTAGCCAATATTTTCGTAGGTTTAATTCTAATATACATAAAGAATACAGTTGAAATACCCAGTTTAGCTCTTCCTCAAACATTATTTTGGCTCCAGTCTGAAGAAGGGAAATCTTCATAACCATCTAGAAAACCATCCTTCTTTTAGAAGAGCTTACTTGTTGCCTCATACATGGACTGAAGAAGGTAGTACCCACCCTTTGAGGACCCTAGAGTTTGAATATGAGATTTAGATAGACATGTTGTACCAAACTGATACTTTACACTGCCTCTCACAGGTTGCCCCTTCTTGCTCTTCCATTCCTGATGTGCATGTCGGTGTTCTCCAAAGCTGTATCTCTTCCTGGCACCTAGAGTGGCATCTGGCCCAGTTTAGCACTAGGTACACGTCTGTGGAAGGAATGAAGGATGTCCTGAACTCTGGTAATTTTCCCAAGGTGCTCAAAACTGATCTTCACTTTTGTGAAGCTGTGAGGGCCATAACAACTTTTAGTATGTTCAAAGTATATCTTTAATTAAATATAATTTAAGGATTTCTGTAAAGATGTAAAACTTTCAGAATGTTCTCAGACAAGATTCCTAGAAAGTAGAATTAAATGTTTATAACATTCAGAAGAAGGTGAAGGTGTGGAAAAGTTCAGGGCGGGGCAGAGCCACCCCTTGACAACAGGGTTTTGGACTAGCGTTTATGAATTATTGATGACAACACAATAATACCCTAACTTCATTTGTTCAGTAAATATTTCATCACTGTTGGTAAATAATCCCATATCGCTGGCTTTTCAAATATGTCTTGGTAGAGGTGTGGGAGCAGACACTAAATATTTATTGGGTTTATATCATGGAAAGGTCAGGAGCAGGAATATTTTAAGAGGACGGGCAGACAGTGGATCAAATGAAAGGAGGGAATTGCCCATTATTTAGAGAATGAGTAGCGGAAGGAAGCCAGGGTGACCACACATGCGTTGCAACGGCTTCTTCAGGAGAAAGTGTGATGAGAAATGAGGATTTGTGAAGGAAGTGTGAACACTGGGATATGTTTAGGGACCAAATAAGCAGCTCACTAGAAATTTAACCAAGGGCGCCATGTGTGCATTGGGCAGCTTTTCTAATAAACCAAATAGCCAGAAGTTCAGCAGATTGTTCAGAACGTTTCTTGCAGCTCCCATTCAAAGCTGGCCTTGGTCCACCGAAAGTCAGGAATGGCGCAGGGATTAATGAGATTTCGTTTAGCTTCATTCAGCGGTACACTTTAGAGCGGGCCTTACGTTCTTAAGAGTAATTTCCTATCAACCATATAAGACTTCAGATTTTTTAAAAATTTTTTCTGTGTGCTATACCAGTATTTTAGTCAAATTTCAAAAATTATTAACATGAATAATTTTGTGAAACATAAGTGGTTTTGTTTATAGTTTAACAGTCTACTCCCCCCCGCCCCGCCAAAAGGCTACTATCTAATCCAGAAAATTGAGTAGAGACTGCTTCCTTTTTTTTTTTTTTTAATTCTTTCCTTTTAAAAACAAATCACTGATACTCATTTAGTGTATTATGTGCTGGGTGCAGTTCTAAGCAATTTACATGTTTTTTTGTTTTGTTTTGTTTTTTTAAGATTTTATTTATTTGTCAGAGAGAGAGGGAGAGAGAGCGAGCACAGGCAGACAGAATGGCAGGCAGAGGCAGAGGGAGAAGCCGGCTCCCTGCCGAGCAAGAAGCCTGATGCGGGACTCGATCCCAGCACGCTGGGATCATGACCTGAGCCGAAGGCAGCTGCTTAACCAACTGAGCCACCCAGGGGTCCCACATGTGTTTTCTAATGTTATCCTTATAATACCCTAAGACGTAGATGTTGTTGTTATACTCATTTTTAAAGATGACAACATTAAGTCCCAGAGAGGATAAGTAAGTCGCTGGATTCTAGTAATAGAGCTAGAATTTGAGTCCACATAGTCTGGCTCCAGAGTCCATGGCTCTTCATAATTACCTCATATACTATAATTACCTCTTAAGAAATGTTGTTAATTTTCCATAAGCTTTTTATTAAGAATTTATGATTTGATCAACTTGAATTGATTTCAGATTATCACTAAAGTATGTGCTTTTAAAAAAATTAAATAGGCATGCAGTTTTTTCTTTTATTCAGTTCTGGACCACATTATTAAGGTCATATTATAGATTCTTATAGTAATATAGAACCTTATTGTATTATAGAACTTGACAGGTATCAAGTTCTATACCTTGGTCTGGATTTTGAGCAAAGTTTGAAAATCTAACTTTATTTTCATCTTTTTATACTGCGGAAATAAGTCTAGATGAAGATCTAATGATGAATGTTATTAAAATATATGTTAATATCTCGCATTCATATTCAGTACATACACCCCCCCCCACCACCCACACACACACAGTACCATCATCAAAACAGAATCCAGGGGTGCCCGGGTGGCTCAGTGGGTTAAACCTCTGCCTTTGGCTCAGGTCACAATCTCAGGGTCCTGGGCTCGAGCCCCGCATCGGGCTCCCTGCTCAGCGGGGAGTCTGCTTCCTCCTCTCTCTCTGCCTGCCTCTCTGCCTACTTGTGATCTCTCTCTCTCTCTCTCTTTCTTTCTCTGTCAAATTAAATAAAACAAAAAAAACAAACAAAACTCAGAATCCAACAATCTAACATTAATTGTTGTTGTAGGTATTTCGTTTTGTTTTAAGGTAGTGGCTTATTGTTATAGTTAATATATAGTCTGGACTTCCTTGGACCTGGATTTAAAATAAATGGAGTTCTCTAAACTGTGAGAATACTCAGGAAATTTTAATTTTTAATACCTTCTCTTTCTCTGAATGTGCAATGAAAATGGATATTTGTGATATCTCTTCCATTAGCAGTTGAGTAGTTAGAAAAGAGACTGGCTGTGTATGTTTCAAATATTATTTTAACTTATTCAATAAATATTTACTGCAGGCTTACTATATGCCCAGCCCTAGGTCTGTAATAGTTGGTGGGAAGGCAATTTGCACATCCTTCTTAGGAGTCTTCTACTAAAGAGGGGAAACCCTGTGTTCTCTCCTCTTTCTTGTGTGTCTGCAGTTCTTTACTTACACCTACGTAGTAGTGATTACTATCATCTACTCGATCTTGTCATCTCCTATGTATTGTGTCCCCATGACACATCCTTAGGAGTTTGCAAGTTTCCTGGAAATAAAAACTATGGTTTGCTAAGGTGCGGACCTTATTCGTTCTGAGTTTGCAGCTGATGCTTGTGAATTGCTCAGATAAGGGATTGAAACATGGGTGAGAAGATTGGAAGGTCTGCTCTATGACAGCAGGGATGCCTTTGCCTGTTTTGTTCAGTCCTGTGGGCCCAGGGTCTAGTACATCGCATGGAACGAAGTAGGCACTTTGTCAACTTCAAGCCGAATGAATTCCAGTCAACTGAGGTTTAGATTTGGGTGGAGTTTGCACAGGGACAGTAGTTGAAGGCGTTTATTCATTAATTTAACCAGTCGTTCTCTTAGATCTCCATATGCTACGGACTGTGGTAGGCGCTAGAGATAAGATTTTAGCCAAAACAGATTATGACTGTAAAGGAAAGCCAGATTACCTGTGAGAATTTTGGAGGAATGGCCATAGTTAGGGGAGGTAGATTAAGCAAGAGGATCTTTCTGTTATTTCATTCCATTGTCTGCAGGTTGAAACTCTGGAACTAGAAGGGGTTTGGGGTCACATGAACCAAGAGAAGAATGTCTTTGCAAGATAGAGAGGGTGAGTGGTGTCAGGCACTGCCTGGGGTTGGAAAAGGATATGGAGTGGAGGAAGTTTATTACCTTTAATGAGAGAGAAGTCTGGTCCTAGAAGGAGAGTGTAGATAAACCAGCATCTTCATTCTCATGTATTGCTAGTATACTGTTAAAGAGTTTCATTAAAAAGCTCTTACAGTTCAGATACTTGAAAAAAATATTTTAAGTGAAATTACTGCAGTTGAAAGACTTCAGAGATGCTGAAGGGAAATAACATAATTCAGTAGGTTTTGAACCGCCTTTTGGGGGGAATGGGACAAGAGTGGGTAGAAATCACACTGACTGGAGTCCTGGCTTTACAGCCTGCTGGTTTTGACCTTTCTGTGCCTCAGTTTTCTCATCAATAAAATGGGGTGACTGTAGTTCCTACCCTATAAGCTTAAATGAGAAAATACCTTTCTCGTAGGCTTAAGAAAAAATAAGTACATGGATTATGCTCCCCATTCTGTCCGGCCACATGTTCAGAAAGTGTTTGTTACTGTTGTTCTGAATCCTATTCCTGTTCTTGCCAAAGTGTTCTCTACCTTACCTGCCTCCCTTTCCCAGAACAGCTGGAACTGGGGGCAGGGGGCCATTGGAGGAGAGCGAATTCTCTTGCTGACAAACATACCCTTTCCGTGGTTCTTCTGTTGGAACAACTGCAGGGCTTCTGTTTTATTGATTTGCTTCCGGATCTGTTACTTGGCACGCTTCACTAACGGAAGTTGTTGTTGTTGTTTTAGCTACATGAGAGTGGGTATGATGCGGGCAAAGCCCTACAGCGCCTGGTGAAGAAGCCTGTGCCCAAGCTGATCGAAAAGTGCTGGACGGAGGATGAAGTGGTGAGTGCGGATGGGGTGGTCTTGTGGCTGGTGTCACCGGGCTGTTGGCTTCTCAAGTGTGCCCTCCCTGCGCCTCTGGGGACTGCCCGTGGTAGCCGTTAGTCAAAGGAAAGAGCCTGCAAGCATCATAATTGTACAGAGAGTCTTGATCTTAGCTTAGTGGGAAGGGTTTTCTCAGGTTTCATGGAAAGAGAAGAGATTGGGAGTGTTGGTTGGCTGGTTTTAGCAAGCCAGTTTTTGATCCCTCCCCATTTTAAAACCCAGCATTTTTTAAACCAGTTGATACATATCTTAAGTGGAGCCAGTGACTTGCAGGAAGCAAAGACCTGATTATGTAAATACCGTGGCTCTTACATATTCATCCTGTCATTATGGCCCATCAGAGAAGGTAGGGAGATAAAGTATGTGCCCACAAATACAGATTTGAATGCCCATGGATTCCTGTTCCAGCACACCGAGTTCTCATGAAGCTACATCCCCATCTTGTGACTTCTGAAAGGTATTGCTGTAAAAGACTTACAGATTACTTGTGCTTTTGCTACTTCAGTCTTGTGTCTGAGTGGTACTGCTTGACGTTTGCCCTTTAGGTTGAAAGAAATTGGGGCGCCTGGGTGGCTCAGTGGGTTAAAGCCGCTGCCTTCGGCTCGGGTCATGATCCCGGGGTCCTGGGATCGAGCCCCACATCGGGCTCTCTGCACAGCGGGGAGCCTGCTTCCCTTCCTCTCTCTGCCTACTTGTGATCTATGTCTGTCAAATAAATAAATCTTTAAAAAAAAAAAAAGAAAGAAATTAAGATGAAGGCTGGCACTGATAGACATATCAATTGTAAGCTTGTTGCTGATACTTTAAAATATGCTAAGAAAGAATGTTGAAAAACTTTTCTGTGCTTTCCTAATCTTGCTCTTTTCGTTTTTTATTTATTAAGTACTTAGTTTGTGCCAGGTGCTGTGTTAGGACCATATCAAGAACAAAAGTTCCCTCGGGGGCACCTGTGTGCCTCAGTGGGTTAAGCTTCTGCCTTTGGCTCGGGTCATGGTCTTGGGGTCCTGGGATTGAACTCTGCATCAGGCTCTCTGCTCAGTGGGGAACCTGCTTCCCCCTCTCTCTCTCTGCCTGCCTCTCTGCCTACTTGTGATCTCTGTCAAATAAATAAATAAAATCTTAAAAAAAAAAAAAGGCCCCTCCTCATGAGGCTTATGTTTTAAGAGGAGAGACCATCTATAAATCAATATATGTCAAGTGGTAGCACAGCTGTGTGCTGAGGAGAATAGAGGAGGTAAGGAGGAGGGAGAAGAAACTGGGGGAGTGGGGAGGTACTGTCTTCAGTAAGGGGCGGAGGAAGGGCCCTGGTGAGAACCATTTGAGCGGAGACCTTAGTGCAAAGAGATAAGCCTTTTGGATCATGCCGGGGAAGAGAAGTCTGGGCCCTGGCATGGTCAAGAAGTAGGCAGGAATGTGTGTGGAGGGGGCGGCAGGCGGTAGGTCACGTGTGGCCCGTGGACGGACGGTCAGCGCCTCGCTCTTTCGTCTGCAGGGGCAGATTCTGAGCAGAGGGGTGACTTGATCTGCCCATGGGGCGCGCTCTGGCCCGAGTCACAAGTGGGCTTCCGGGGCAATTGCGAGCTTCCAGGCCCAAGACCAGTGACCGAAGAGCACGGCATCGGTGCTGGGGAGAAGTGGTGAGATCCTGGGTGCGGGCTGGAGCAAGGTCCGAGAGGGTATGTTCGAGGAAAGGTCGCGGGGAGCGGGTGTCGAGTGGAAGCCGGGAAGTGCACTCGGAGGCCGCAGGGAGGGACCGAAGCAGCGCTGAAGGTTTGGTTAGAGAGCGTTGTCTGGGTCCATTAACGCTGGCTGACCAGATGCATGAGGAAGTTGGTGCTGCTGTTTGGAAATTAAATATTTAAATGCTTTACATGATCATTCAAGAGTTGGAAACTTCTTAAACGTTTGTTATTCAAATAGTGGCAGAGTGAAAATGTGAGAATTGTTTTGTCAAGTCAGATGTCGTTTTTCACTGTGGACCCATTTTTGTGAGAAGGAGAGAATTTTGATTGATAAAAATTTAAGATTCTCAAACAGCCTTGTTGCAAGAAAGAGACGAGGAGGTGGAGAGGATGGAAGGAGTGTGTGAAAGGCCGTCCCTGCGGGGCCCCCGTCGGTGCCTGTGCTAGGAGCCTTCCTCGGCCCTCCCTCACCTTCACCTTAAGGCTTCTCAGCAGCCAGGAGCTCCCGGTGCTCTCTCCGTGGCCCGTCCTTCTTTCTGGGGTTTAAGGACTCCCACTTAAAGGAAAGTCGCCTTCCTCTTCCTGCAGCCACTTGCCTCTCTTGGGCATAGTGTGGCCTGTATCCCTGCTGCTGCTGGGGCTTGGGGACTTGAGGCAGCCCTTGGGACACAAAGGGGAGTCTTAGACATGGGAGAAGGCCTGACTTTCTTTTGAAAAGTGAAACGCGACTCCAGATTGCTGCACATCCCGAGGACGTGGTAATGATCGCTAACTGCATGAATCCTTGTCTTTCCGGCGCATTTTTGTCATGGTTGCTTCTTGTTTTGGTTGGAGTTTTGAGAAATGTGCTGGCACTCATCCAGTTCTTGCAGAACCCAAGGATCAAATGCTTCCCTTATTTGTAGGAAGTTCAGCTTCACTTTCTAAAACCTGAAAAGCAAATGAGCAAGAGGGCTTGAGTAAATGATAGCTGAAGGCAGCTTCTTATGAACGTATCCAAGTCAAATCTTTGACCAGTTTATGTGGCAGCCAGGCACAGGCACTCGTGGACCTCTGCCTTGGCCTGGTTTTGGCTGTGAGAACATAACCTGCTGGGTGCATGTGGCCCTTCTGGTCGAGTTCCCCACATCATCTCACCCCAGGAATCACAGGAATAAGCAAAGCAAGTGTGTCCCAATGAAAATGAGGACATGGGCCTACCTCCTGTTCTGTACCCTCCCCTACCCCCAGAATAACATTTTAGTTATTTTTAAGCGTCACTGCCTCCAGGATACCGGCTTGCTCAAACTGCAGCAACGTCGATGAGGCCACCATCACACCGTCTTCTGAGCTGCTTCCGCTGCTTGCCTGCGTCTGTGGGCAGCTTGCCCTTGCTTTCTCCTGCCGCCGTCGCCAGCTCCGTTCCTCGCAGCTTTGCTTCCACGTTGATTGCCCTCCTCACTGGCGAGCTTGCTAAGAATGAGGCCTTCACTGATGGTGAGACCGGTGTCTGGTAGAGAGGCATGTTTTGTCCAAGAGGGACTTGAAGAATATTGACAGGTCTTTATTTAAGATGAGTGTTTTTAAAGATTCTTTACCATAATTAAGATTGTCCTCAATCTAACATTTTATTAAAACTTGTAATGGTTAATAATTATGCATCAGAGAAAAACTTGTATGTGCACCCAAAGCTGACCTTCGAAGTTTTACTTTTGGAAAAAAAATGCCCGTATTATTAATGATAACACCACCCAACATCTTCATCCTAGGTCTTTCAGATAATCACCAGTTCTTGAGATTGTAGGCCTCAGAATTACACAGTGGGAGGCCTTTGATTTTACATTTTCTCTCAGTGATTCCTTTGATGGCTTGTGTGTGTGTAGGTACAATATTTCTCACCAAAGTTTCTTTGGGGCTGAGACACTTTAAGTCTTGTGGAATGGATGCCAGGTTTGTGGCAGTTTCTGTCGAATTCTAGGCCCCAAACTGACAACTGCACTCTGCTTTAGTGCAGTGACTGAGAAACATGTTGGTAGCGGGCTCGAGGCGGTCTCTCAGGCTCAGATCAGAGAGGCAGTTGCGAAGAAATGCTGGGTCAGTTGGATGGAGCCGAAGGAAACAGCCGGCGCCTGTCTTTGGGGGCCGCACTGACGGTTAACCAGTCTCACTTACATTATGCTGAAAATATTATTCCATTTCAGGAAGTCATTTAAATCAGTAAAACTTGTGAAGAGAATGAGGAGAAAAATACTGATCAGAACATTAAAAAAAAAAAAGAAACTCTAGATTATTAGGTTTTTAATTAAACATGGTGAACACATTTAAATATAACACAAAGGCCCCAGGCTGAACTGCACCTAATCGAAACAGATTAAGTCACCCTTCCATGCTCGGGTAGTTATTAATTCTGCTTATTTATGCATGCAAGCGGAAGGTAGCATTTGCTGCCGCTGTGCTGGTGCTTATTGCGCTGGGATTCCATTGCTGCTTGACACTGTGCGCTTAATTAGCATTCAGCTGTTGATTATGGAAATACTGGGGACGCTAATTGAATTCTTCTTAAAATTCAGGGCCCGCGTTTTCCTTGTGGAGTTTGGCCCGACCTGCAAGGTTGTACGAGTGGGTGCTCTGCTGGGCCGTGTATGCACTTCTCCCTTTGCTTCCCATCCACTTGGCTGTGTTTGTTTTGGAAATTATTTTCATGTGGAAGCAGCTTTCAGCAAAATTCCAGGTGTTCCAGAAGGTAAAGGTTTTGTTGCTTACGATGTTCCCGCAGAGCGTTCGTTCCATGTCACTGCAGGTAACTATAACTTTTATCTGGAAGTGTGTTTTCCCTTAAAATATTTTATGCCAATTTTGGTGTACTATATTGAGTGAACAATGTAGACACAAATAATCTAAAATGTTTATGCATAGCCAGTTAATCCATGGTGTGGTGGTAGACTTACCTGGATTTACAAATCATAAATTTTAAAACCTCTAAACTTTCCTTCAGTTTAAAGCTCAGCATTATCATAAATATAAATGAAAATCCTTCTTTCAAAATTAACATGGCGCGGCAGACTAATTTTCTGAGTATTTGTAAACCAATGAACCCGTGTGGCTGGTCGAGGAATTGCGTCCCCAGGACACGCCAGCTGTCTGCGTGGTGTGTCTCCCAGCAGCGTCTTCAGAGGCCTTTGTTAGGCCCTTTTTGGAATGTCTGCTCGAGGAAACATTGTTTTCATTGTTCACTCTTTTTAAGCCGGGCATCTGGATGATGCCAGAAGACAGAGCTGCTTAGTGGGCAAAAATACA